CCTTAATTGTGGTAATTAATTACTCAGCTGGGTCAGTTTGTCATCTCTTTATTTTTATCTCTTCATGGCACCTGTAACAGAGGCAGGGGGGGCTCAGAGGTCCATCTGTACAGACTTTCGGACTTTAGGGCTGTATCTTGCACCTCAGTGGGAACACAGAGCCTTCAGGGCTTGTCAGACACCAGACCTGCCCATTCCTGATTCCTGGATATTAGTGTATTCAGAATTACTCTGTTCATTGACTGTTTAATCAATTAAATAATCACGTAGTCTAGTGTACAGTACGTGCGCAGGCAGTGGAATGGATAGTCAGTGCTGCCTCGGGGCCACAGCTGACCAGGGTCCAACAGGAGGCACACCGTCACCGTGGCAACAACCTGGCGCTCTGCCAGCAGCCCTGTTTCTGCTTTTTTTCTGCTCGTCGGGTCTCATTCTAAGGCAGACACAGCAGTTTGATGAGTTTGAAGACGAGCTGTCTTGGAGCTTCTAGAAAGAGCTTGCACATGAGCTCTGTGAGACAATAATAATACAGCAGCAGGGTACAGTGTGCACCTCTACTGTGTCTCATAGATTTGTGTTTCACTGTAGATAACGTGGACTTTATACAGCAGACAGAGAGGACTTGTGCACTACGGCCAGCAGGAGGCAGTGAGGTGTCTCAGAGATCGTGGATCCCAGCTTCCTAGGGACACAGCTCCATCCAGCAGAAACTTCCTTTTCTAAAAAAGGATAAATGTCAGAGGGTCAGCATTTCACTTCTTTTTGATGAGTTTTCTGCAGAGTCAGCTGAGCGTTTTGCTGTTAGATCCTGTGCTCTGCGACAAAGGCATAGAAAGAGAGAACATATCACTTGTGAAGGATGCAGCATTTTACATCTGCGGATCCTGATTCTTGGGAATGTCGGGGCTCTGGTCCTTGCAGTGAGTGTATGAGTGACTGAGAGAGGGACCAGCCAGGCTCAAGTCCAGCCCACCTCCCTTTCTCTCAAGCAAAACACACCTCCTGTCAGAAGACAAAAGCCCACATGTACATCTTTGATATAAGATACGATCACTTTATTAGCCATATACAATTTCTTGCATTAGGAATTCATCTTTTCATATACCCCAGCTTGTTCTCAATGAGATATAGACAGGGAGAGAAGCTTAGGGTCAGAGCACAGCACCCCTGGAGCAGTTGGGGTTAAGGGCCTTGCTCAGGGGCCCAACAGAGTAGAATACCTCTGCTAGCCATGTGATTTGAACCAGCAACCTTCTAGCCACAGGTGCAGATCCTTAGCCACAGAGCCTGTAATTTAACTTTAAACTAAGTCTTCCTGAGCCAAAAAGAAACAGGATGCAGGTCATGGTGTTTTGATATTACATACGATATTACTCTGAACCTGATCACCTGTACTTTATCTGTACAAGATATTGAGTTACTATATTCTGACTCAGTCAAGTGCTTTGCAACTAGTTACTGTATTGCCTGCTTGATTGAATGTGCTGTTGCGATAGCAGCCGGGTTACTGGGCAGCTATTGTAGATACCCAGAGCCCCTGCAGGACAAGGGATGACTGTCCACCCACAGACAGAGCACAGAATCCGTTTGTCTCAAAACACTGCGGCCCCAGTCTTGTCCCTTCTCTCTCCTCCCTGTCCTCCCCGATTCGCTTTTCTCCTGATTAAAGCGAATATCGAACTTCAGCTGATTCATCTCAGAGCAGGTCTGTCTAAACCTCCTCCACTTTAATCAGATGAGAATCAATAGCTGGGTAATAAAAATGCTTTGAATTCCAAGATCAGAGAAAAAAATCAAGCCTCTTTGAACATGTGCAGAGGCTGTGCCGCCTGCTGACAGACAGATGTCTCAGGGTCCTCTCTGCCTTTTGTAGCACCGAGCTCTAAGTGCCACAGATGCAATTAAGATACAACAGCAAATGTAATTACTTTTCTATCAAGCAAAATAACTGTTGCGCTTGGTATCTATTTTAATTCTGCCCAATTCCCACCAAAGCTCTACCTGTCACAACAGCCTGTGCCAGCTTATCCAAGAGTTCAAGTTAAATGCCGTGAATCAATAGTATCTAGCATCTAATTTCATTGCAATATCTTCTTATATCTGCATATTTAAATTCTGTAAAAAGAGATGGTAACTTTACAGGTGAATAAGGCAGAAGAAGTCAACTTTCAATGTCAGACTCTGACGTAAAGACTCATTGAAGCCTGTTCTGTTATATATCAAATATGTCATGGTTCAGCAAGCATAGTTTAACATACAGCACCTGCACTGTCCAGCCAGTACTCTGATCCAGTTTGATTCTCAGCACACAGCACTACCTGCAGGTCAGATAATGTTACTGTCCTTTTTCTGAAAAACAGAAAGCTGACAATTGGCTTTCCTGCTACCAGAGCTGTTCTACTAGTATTACTAATCCACATGCATGGTTTCTGTTTGTGCACCAAACCAGTGTCCATATCCATATTTCAGTATTTAAAAAAGACACACAAACGCAAGGGAAAAAGGAATAGTTTGGTGACTTTATTAGAATAAGAAAAGTGACAGCAAGCAAGAGAGAGTGACACCCAGGGGTCAGGGTTGGGGGTGAAGGGTCAGCAGGAGCCCCCCCTGCCTGGTGCCATTACTGGGGTGTCTGTTTACAGTGGAGGGCCTGCTGGGTGTACTCCTGAAGACAATGAGTCTCCAATTCACAGACTGCATCCCACTGTAGTCAGATTTAAAGCCTTCATCAGGCTTAATTGTGCGGCTCAGTGCTGTAGCTCAGTAGCTTTTAACCTCATTACTGTCTGTGAACACCTACAGTATGTCGCTGCTTCTGTTCTGCAGCTTCCACTAATTCTCAGAATCTTGGAGAGCAGTGAAGGTGAAGGCGAAAAGTCGATCTTCCTGCTACCAGAAGAGAGAGCAGATTGGAGACTCTCTCTACTCCAGTCAAGTGGAATTACAGTCCAGTCCAGCCCAGTCCAGCACCTCATCGCTGATTTTAAAATCTCCACGCTGTGCTGGACATGCTCACGTGTTATGGGACTGAAATTCTCTGTCCTGAACTTTCTATTTTGCACCAGTGACACAGCATCATTGCTTTCACCCCAGAAATGCCTTCCAGCCTTTATGTACCTGAGCAGTTTGTCTCACTGTGCACACTGACAAGATTGGATCTTAAGAAACTGCTCTTGTTCTGATGGCAAAGTTGTATATTGTAAAGATGGCAGGTGCCTACCTTAAGCCCAGTCAAGCTGGAGAATCCTGAAACAGCTCTGGGGTGCTAGAGGTTCTGCTTTGCTGATGTTGGTGTGAGAGGAGGCCAGTGCAGTGTGCCCAGTTAGCCTGTCCACGGTACTCCTCTGTCCCTGTTAAACTGTCCACTGTGCACCCCTCTCCCACTTAAACTCTCCACTGTACTCCTCTGACCCAGTTAAACTGTCCACACTATGTCCAGTTAAACTGTCCACACTACACCCCTGTCAAGTTAAAATTTCCACTGTGCACCTCTGTCCAGTTAAACTGTCCACACTATGCCCCCATCTCAGTTAAACTGTCTACTTTGCACCCCTGTCCAGCTAACCTGTTCAGGAGGTCTGAACTTGCTTATATCACACAGACAGGATTCTTCCTTTAAAACAAGGGAAAGTGTTATTTTCCTGTAGTGTTCTGGATTAAAAAGTAATCTACCCAGAGACAGAGGGCACTACTGCAGCAATGTGATTGTAGCACTGCAGATGGACAAAGGCCTCCTGCCACTCCAGCAGGAGCTACCTCTTCATAAGGAAGAGGCTAGCCTGCAATGTCACTGTCCCCCCAACAGAATGACCAAACCAAAACCAAGGGAAAGGGCAACTCTTAGTTGTGACCAAGAGGGAAAAATACAGAGTCTGTTCACAGTATCGTCAATAAATCTCACACATCAAGGAGCAAAAAATAAATGTATTCAAATAAAGTTAACTCCCAACACAAAAATAACATTCAAATAAAAAATAGTGACAAGAATAACCAGTGCTGTCTAATGTACTTCTCTAAAACATTACAAAAATGCAAAATTTTGTGCTTGTCTTTAAAATCTATACAGTGGGAACAAAGTAATCTACAATCCATTCAAAATGGACAGATCCCTTGTTCTTCTTTCCTGATTTTCTGTTTTCTCTGGAAACTGCCCTGTTGTTTCTGAGTCTGACTGGGGGCACTGTGAGTCTGGGCACTGCCAGCCTGCAGGGCAGCATGTGGCTTTTCTGAACACAGGGTTTAAAAAGTGGAGACAAGGAAAGGGAATTTCTTGTTTCTATAGAAACCAGCAAAAGCCCAACTACAGCATCAGTGATTCAGACAGGACTGGCTGGCTCATGCCTCTGCTGTGACAAACAATCTCTCTGCAGGAGTTCTGTCCAGACCAGCACATGTGAACTCAAGATTTTTATCATTGATGTCTTTAGTGTTATTAGCCACTTCAGCAGCCATATTACCCTGCAGCTCACTGCTCAGAACCGTCAGGTGTCAGCCCTCTTAGCCCAGCAGGTGTGAGCCTGGTCAGTACCTGGATGTGAGACTCCAGGGAAAAACTAAGGTTGCTGCTGGAAGAGGTGTTAGTGGGGCCAGCAGGGGGCGCTCACTCTGCGGTCCATGTGGGTCCTAATACCCCAGTACAGAGACGGGAACACTATACTGTAAACAGGCGCTGTCCTTCGGATGAGACATAAAACTGAGGTCCTGACTCTCTGTGGTCATTAAAAATCCCAGGGCGTTTCTCGAAAAGAGTAGGGGTGTAAATTTCCATTGGCCCTTACCAGTCATGGCCTCCTAATAATCCCCCTCTATGAATTGGCTTTATTACTCTGCTCTCCTCCCCACTGAGAGCTGGTGTGTGGGGAGCGTTCTGGCGCACTATGGCTGCCATCCCATCATCCAGGTGGGGCTGCACACTGGTGGGTGTGGAGGGGATCCCCATTACCTGTAAAGCGCTTTGAGTGGAGTGTCCAGAAAAGCGCTATATAAGAGTAAGCTATTATTATTATTATTATTATTATTATTATTATTATTATTACTTCCTCCTGGTCAGGGGCTAGCACTGCCGCTCTGCATGGCTGCACTATCCAGTGCTGTGGCCTGGAGACTTCACCACAAGCACAGTGCTGGCATTACTGTCTCACAAGACAGCCTCCACTGTGGCCCCCGCACTTCCAAGAGCTGTTACTGACAGAGATGTACAGGTCTGACAGGTAATTCTTATTGCACTGCAATTTACAGAATAGCAGTGTTTCGAGATGCAGGATTCCAGTTTGCTGTCTGCCTCTGTATTTCACTGACTGGCGGTCGAGAGTGGTTTCGGGTCACCTGGGCAGGCGTCCCGGGTGCCCCTGCCAGCAGCGCTAGGCTTTCAGACTCGTCAGCTCGCTGGGAGCAGGACTGACACTGACGCGCTCTAATCAAGCGTGTCAGGAACCCAGCCAAGGAGCAGGACGAGAGGACTGATGGAGCAGGCTGGACATGACTGATTTACTCCGTACCTAAAGGGGTGAGCAGGGAGGGCCGGTGGGGTGTGAGTGTCAGCCGGGTGGAGGGCTGGGGTGAATGGGGTAAATGCTCTGTCTTCAGACCTCCTCCTTAGTGCAATGCAGGACTTGCTGTATTTCTTGTTGCCAGAAAAATCAGGGGTCATATCTGATGCCTGATCTTTATTTCCCTCTTCCTCTGCTGGCCTAGGCCCGCAACTCTAAGCCTCTAGAATGAGGTCTTGGCAGGGAGCCCTGAGCCCTGAGAGGTGCAGACTGAGCCCACGTGGGCAGGACTTACCCATGCGTTGACATTAATATCCTGCACATAATAATCTCACACTCGATTAGGCTCTCTGTACATTCTACTTCAGCAGCGCATTAAGACAAAACTTTCCCCCGACTTCCACAGCGGAGCTGGGCTGATGATGACATGGGCTGAGCTTTCATGTAGAAACTGACCTTGTGCAACAACACGCAAGGCCCACCCTGCTGTCCACGGTCATCTAATCAAACTGTCCTCTCCAGGCTGCACCCCCCTCTCGGAAAACTAGCCTCTCTGCTTCCCAGATGAAAACTTTTCCTCAAATATTAGCTGAGAGGAGAACCCTGCAGTAACATTTAATCCCATCTGACGCAGGACCTTTGCCACTGTCTCATTCCAACTGCTGACTAACAGCCAGCCAGCAAGCTCAGTGCAGCCAGAAAGAGTTCACTTTGTGTTTAAACATAAATCTGCAAAGTTTATTATTTCTCCCAGAAATAAACATTCATCCAGACTACATTTATTTATTTTATCCCAGGGATGTCCAGTTCAGTACTGATTATATTTCTAGTTCTGGGGGGGGAGGGGAACGGTTGTTTTATTTTGATATCTTGCGACAGTTTCATAACAAGCGACTGTCTAACCCCACCACCCCCTGGCCTCTGCACTGCTGCCCACAATGAAGAGTCCAGGAATAAACGGCCCTCTTACAGGTCATCTGGCTCCAGGTTATCGATCAGAGCCCTCCTGCCCTTCGCTGCTTCTCCCTCATGTGCTCAGGTCAGCAGTCCCCTCGCTGACTCTCTTCTGAAGTACTCTGCCACCTACTGTATGTGTATCTGTGACAGCATGGAAGGAGAGTGGCATTAACCCTTTCATGTGCTGATCTTTAAAACTGCTGCAAAAACAGGACTTTCAAGTTCAACCTTTTCGCTGATTTGGATATGTTTTCCAATTTGTTTTCTAAGCCGAAATAAGTATGGTCTCCACATATACATATGCCAGTTAGGACAGGCAAGACATTATCTGAACCATCAGATGCTACAATTCCCCAGGCAGCAGGAGATTCTACCCAGGCGAGACAACTGTCAGGACACAGACACAGGTCACAGGCAGATCCTCTCCTGACTCACAGCGCTGCCCGTGACCTGTGCTCAGAACAGCACAAGGGACTGGACCGCTTGGCCAGAACCCAGGAATCACAGAACGAAACAAACAGGGCAGTTACAGGACAGGGAGAAATGAAGCACAGCAGAACAAACAGACCAGGATAATCAAACCAAAACAAACAGCGAACCAGCAGGCTTAAAAAGCACACCTGGGAATTTCTAGTGTGCCTGGAGAGGCGCTGAGCGCAAGCCGGTCAGCTGTGTGCAGGATGTCAGCCTGCCTCCTGCAGCCTGCTGACAGCAAAGTGCTTCATCAATACTCTGCTGCACCCAGCAAGTCTTCCTTGGGAGTGCCCCCTGCTGGCAATATTCAGCAGTACTTCCAGGTCCATTCACACTCTTTGCAGAGGGGCTACAGCTGGGCGGCAGGGGAGAGGGGGTCATCAGGTCAGGGTTCAAGTGCCCTCCCCCCATTACACATGCCCCCGGGCTGGAGGGGGCGTTTCTTCCTCTGTTTCGATCTTCAGTAGATAAAAAAACGTTTTATCAAAAATAAAACCTTCCCTGTCCTACCCTGCTGTCCCTCCAGCTCCCCCCTCAGCTCAGGTGGGGCTCTCAGACAGAGCAGATTCCTCACAGCTCCCCCCCCGGGCCAGCCTGCACGACTGCACAAACCCGTGTGCGCGAGAAGAGGGGTGTGGTACCAGGGGTTGTGTTTAAAGATTCCCTTGTACACTTTATCGACAAAGCCATTTTAGGAAATCATACATATTTATAGAGACATTGAGATTGTGCTGCTGTCCCATCAGTTTCTCTGAAACTCATGTGTTTCTGAATTGCTTTTCTGCCACCCCACATTAAGACAGGGCTTTGAGTCGTTCCAGTACTGCAGATCTGCACAAATTACCTTTCTGTGAGTCTCGCCTTGTCCATTAATCAGACTCAAACACAGTCTGATCTTACTCAATGATTGTAAAAACAGGTTGTATGTGTTGCTGAGTGTCTTTAATCTGCAGTCCGCTGATGGCAGGTACAGGGCAAACAGAATCCATGTCGTTTAACTCAATGTGCAAAAGCAACAAGATCTTTCCAGGCTGGAGGGCCATCCTGGACATTCAGCACTGCTCTCGGGTCCTGAACAGAACAGCCCACCCTGGCTCCTGCCAGCATGGCGCCCAGGATTTCTTCTCATTGCAATGCCAGCCTCCCTGTCTGTGCAGTTTTTCCACAGAGATCCGAGTGGAGTCTCCTGCTGGGTCCCAGAGCCTCTCTGTGTGGTGCTGTCTTGTCCCTGCCGGTGCGGAAACTCTGGGATGACAGGAAAGACAGAAGGGCCAGGCAGGCTAGGGGTGGGAGTCCAAGTGATGGTTCTGGCAGCGGGGGCTGGGGGCAGGGGCTTCCTCACACTGTGCATCCTGGCCTCCCTCACTGGCCGGATGGAGTCCTGTCGCTGGCGCTCTTGTGGAGAAGCTTGCTGAAGTCTGCCAGGCTGCCCAGGCCTTGAGTGGAGTGCAGGGCTGCCCTGCCCAGGGCTGGGGGGGCACGGGACGCGTAGTGGTGGCGGCCGGAGGACGAGGCATTGTTGCTGTTGAAGTTGAGAGTCTCAGGGTTCCATCGTAGGGAGTCCCCAAAATCCAGCTCAGTGTTAGGAGCTGAGACCACCCTCCTCCTTTCAGGACTGTCCTGGGGTGTCACAGGATAGGGGTACTCCCCGGCTGAATTGCGCAGCGGAGCTCCGGGCCGCGTGCCATGCTCCCGGGACAGCGGAAGCTGGGGAGGGGGCTCGTGCACCGCCAGGGCCAGGTAGTGCCGCTCGGCCAGCTGGGGCGGGTCACCCTGCTCCTCGGGGTGGCGCATGCCCCTGGCGGTGGGCAGGTGCTTGGAGCTCAGGTAGATGACGGAGGAGGGGGGAGGGCAGGGCGTGCCGGCGGAGTTCAGGTAGGTCTGGCTCTGATCCCAGCTGGGGTCGCCCGCGCTGAGCCTTAGCCCCGGGGGGGGGCGCTTCTGCTGGAGGGGCGTCTGCTCGGGAGTGGGCAGCAGCCCCGGGTCCAGGTCCGGCTGGCTGAGCCGCATCACCCCTCCAACAGGTTTGGGCCAGCCGTTCTGCACCATGAGTGGTGCTAGTAGTGTCTCGGACTGCCCTCGGGGCGGCGGCCTGTCCCCGCCCCCGCAGGGCCGTGTCACGCTCACTACCGAGCCCCCACCGCCCTGCGGAAGCATGCTCTGCTCCTTGTCCCCCTTGCGCCGACTGCTGCTGGAACCAGCACCCCCGCTGCAGGCACGGCGACGGTGCTGGTGCCTCATGAACCAGCAGACAGCCAGGCCTGACAGTGCCGCCCCAGTGGCGAAGGCAGACACTGCGGAGAGCACAAGCAGGTTCACGGACACCAGCCCCTCTGGCTCCTCTACAAAACTCTCCTGCAGGAGCCCTGCGTACAGAGAAAGAAGGAGAGTTAGGGAGGCACAGTGATGCTTTACCTCAATCATCTTGCTGTTTGGTTATTTGAGAATTAAGTGGTCATGTCATGAGTTGAGCAGGTGGATGGTGTTACATTGTGGGCTTTGCCATCTCTTAACAACTCTGTGACTGGACCCAACCCCCCTCCCCCCCAGGCTCTGCAGGGCAGCCCCTACACAAAATGGGGCCAGAGTACCCCTGTGGAGCAGCCCGCACACAAACTGGGGCCAGTGTCCCCCCGTGGGGCAGCCCACACACAGACTAGGTCCAGAGTCCCCCTGCTTTTCCCATCTGTCTGGCTGTTCTGGAAGGAGTTTGCAGAAATTCATTTTCCTCGGGAAGGGAAGAACTTCGGCTGGTAAACACTGCGCTCCACACAATAACAGTGCACAGCAAACTTAATTAAACTCCTACGTGTTTCTGCCTCACGGCAACCCATAAATACGGAGTGAAAGAGACAGCAGCAGCCCCCTGGCCATGTGGAGACTCCTCTGCAGCTGGGAAGGGTGGCAGGACGGCCTCCGCAGACACACTTTGTCACTCAGGTCCCGGAGGGCTTTCAAGCTGCCTAATAACAGTACGTCAATACCAAAACCTCTAACCATCTCCTAACAGTGTTAAAATCAGGGCTTCTTTCGTGTGTTTTCTGCTGTCTCTGTTACCCAGGCTGCATTCTGGGGAACTGCTCCATGCAGAGAACATGCTGGCCAGTGAGGAAGAGGTGAAAAGTGGTAAATCTGTATATTTAGCGTTTTCATGCCACATCAGCTCACAGCGCATAACAATAAAAATAAGAGAAAATATAAAAATTAAAATGCACAGATTAATACAGTAAACCAACTCATTAAGGAGTTTCTCGAAAAGAGAAGGGGTGTTACCCTGGCATCCTGGCCAAATTTCCCATTGGCCCTTATCAGTCATGGCCTCCTAATAATCCCCATCTATGAATTGGCTTCATTACTCTGCTCTCCTCCTTGCTGAGAGCTGGTGTGTGGTGAGCGTTCTGGTGCACTATGGCTGCCATTGCATCATCCAGGTGGGGCTGCACATTGGTGATGGTGGAGGGGATCCCCATTACCTGTAAAGCGCTTTGAGTGGAGTGTCCAGAAAAGCGCTATATAAGTGTAGGCAATTATTATTAATTATTATTAAAAGCTAGAGTGTAACTGAGTTTTAAAAGACAGGACTTCACAGTGCTGATGGACAGCTCATGGCAACAGCTCATACTGGGCTGGCAGCTCATCCCAAAGCCTTGCAGCAGCAGAGCAGAACTCAGGCTCAGAAAGTCATGCTTAAAAACAGCAATGGTGTTCAATATCTGAACTTTCTTTAGTCACCAATGCAATCTAAAGGCAGCTGCTTCAGAACTGCATACTTTCACTCGTCTCCTGCCTCTCCCAGGGTGCAGTGTCCTCCCGAGAGACAGCTTGGCTCTTTTTGCACACCTCACCCTTACTCTCCTCCTTATTCTCCTTCTGCGTCTTAATGGAGGCCTCTTAACTGTGTGAGAATTACTTCTAGTAGAAATATAGGATCCACCACAGTATTTGCATAATGCATTCTGGACAAAGTGACATGCTTGTTGGTGTGTCAAAAAACCATTTAACAAACGTCTCTCCTTCTGCATACTACGCAGATAAATGGAAGGAGCATTAACATTACAAAAGATGCAATTTAGAGAAAATCTTGTTCTCCCTGTGAGCCGAGGCTGGGCTGCTACTTGGATGGGCTTTGATTTGATGGATCTGTAGCTATTAACTCACCTGCTCAGGCACAGGCACTCAACACAAAAGCCCAGGCAGAAGCTGGTCTGTCTGTGGAACAGAGTTCCCACTGAATGCAGTCCTGCCAGATAGAGATCAACGCCTCTACAGCGGCCTGAGGGTCTGTGTTCATAAAGCATTTAATCTGTGCAAAGTTTCGCACAGTAGGCAGATACTCCACTGCAGTCAGGAGCCGGTGTCATCCCTCAGCTCTTCTCCCTCAGAGCTGAGCGTGCTGAGCAGCAACAGTCCTGTGTGGTGACTGTTCAAACAAGCCCAATCTATCTGCAGTTTGTGGAGCAGAAAATGCGTTTTCTGTGTGAGTGCAGCAATGCTTTAATTGAAATGAAATTAAAATAATGAATTAGCCTTTCTCCTCACTCAAATAAAAAGTGGATTTTCATACCAGCTGGCAGTTAAATGTGAGATGTACCTTTGCCCGTAAAATGAATATTGACTTTTATAGTGGAGACATTTCCTTTACAGTCTTAAGCAGTATCCTCCCTGTGTCAGCACAGTGGTTCGTAAAGATGACACCAGTTTTAAAATGACAAATAATATCAGATCATCTGTGTGCTGGTGTACACTGTTTCACCTTTTGGGGAAAAAGAGCAAAGGAATAAATGGTTGGAAATGGTAAAAAGGACATATCTTCTTTAAAAAAAACCTTACCAGCAAGAGCTACATATGTATCTGTAGCAGGAGCAATTATGTGAGACTCGTTGTGCCCACGGTGCCTGCCCGTGCTGCGCCAGCCTGCTTGTTAAATTTTATTGTAAGCTGCACCGCCTGTCAGGCTGACAACAGCTAATGGTTCCTCAGCTTTCGGCTCCAGTTACGAGTGCAGAGCACTGTAGGAGGGGGGAATGGGGAGGGGGGGTTCAGAGCATCTCCTACCTCCAGGGCTGTCGGCTGTACCCTCTCTCACTGTCGCTTTGTCCTGGCTCGCTCTCCCTTCCTTCTCACTCCCTTCACACTCTCTTCCTCTGACGTCTCTCACTCTACCTGTGTCTGTCCAGCCCTGTCCAGTTTCCCTGCTGCCTTGTGCGTGTCCAGATGTACTGTGCTCTAGTGGCACCACAGTTGGAACCTGCAAATGCACGGCTCAAGGCTGCAGCAGTGTGTGTGGAGTTTTTCCTCTGTTACTGTGCATAAACAAGCTGGCTGCTCAGCTGTGACACTATCAATTTTCAGATGTGAGCCAGTGTCACTGGGAAGGAATCTGTGCTTTTGCAGGAGAGCATGATAATGAAACACAGTGCAGTCGGACAGGGTGACCTGCAGACATGGAAGAAAGAAGATCTTGCAGACTTCCTCCTGCCTCATTCCTTGAACTTCTCAGCTCGCCCTTGGCTGTGCCGTGAGACAAGGGCAACATGTCTCAGAAGTAAGACCCTATTCACCCAACACGCAGCAAAGTCAGCAGCGATGTCTGGGCTTTACATTTGGCAAAATGTAAAGCTCACGCAAGGCTCAGAGGTCTACTCTATATGGGGACACTCCCGGTGACCCAGAGGGAAAACAAATACAGCACAGCTCCGGCCTCTGTTTGCATTCGGCTGAGACACTGACTCGGGCAATGCCACGCTCCGCCTTTAGAGCTTCGGGAATGTTAAGCCTGAAACTTGCAAAACCTCTCAGCTCTTCTGAGATGTCCTTCTAGTCTGATTTAGTGGTGAGAGACAGAAGAGTTAATTTTTTTCTTCTCTCTGAAGGAGGTGTTTGAGATGTGCAAGGAAGACCCAGCTGCCCCTGGAGAAGAAGTCAGTGCTTCTCGCTGTGCTGTCTACCTTGCTGTGTCTGAGAGATCTCCTTCTCTACACACAGCCTGCAGACAGCGCCTCTGTACACCTCTTCCAAACACTGAGCTGTCATAATACTACATCTGGTTTTAAACAAAAACAGCAATAAACCCTGCATCAGATCATAAACTAAAATAAAAAATCTGTATGCATTTTGTGCTATAGAGATGCTTTTCAGTTCAGTATAACCCTAATGAGATCAACCACAGTGAGCGAGCAAAGACTTCTAAATAATTAAAAAACATTTATGATTATTCATTCCAGAATGTCAGTGCACTTAGACTTTTTCTGAAAAGCTTCTCTTGATTGGTACACCTCAAGGAATTTGCAAAGTCACAGCTTTTCTCTCCTGTGTGGATGAGTGGGCAGCTGCAGACAGAAGCTCCCAGAGTGTGGAGAGTACAGCCTTGTCGGAAGGGAGAGTGTGAAGGGGAACGGACAGTTGCTCTCTATCATAGACGGCGCCCCTGCCAAACTGCGTCTGCTAGAGAGCTGCAGCTGTGACAGCAGGGACTGGAGTGACGCTCATCCATCCATCAGCCCCATCCCACAACGCCCCACTCCTGCTTATTGATTGGCTCCTGGTATTTATCTGACTACTCTGGAGCTGCGTGGTTTGAAAATCAATTCTCTCCACTTCCCCCAGTCCTGCCGATCTACCGAAGAGAGGCAAAATGCTTTCTGTTACCAGCTCATTTCTCTCCCAGCTAATCGAGCCTCAGCTCTTGAAAAAGTCAGTGCTGACAGGCTGCTCTGGCTTGGCAATGCCTGTGAGGCCACACCTGTTTATTCCCAGTCTGGGTGATCAAAGAGCTGCAGGGAATAATATGTGAATCTGAACCTGTGCCCTACAGGTCTCTAAAAAGTCTCAACAGAAATGACCCAGCGTCTACTGACAGTGCATTTAAAACTGAGAACAGGAGGCACTTTTTACAAGGTTATGGGAGTCTGGAATGAGATAACCAGCAATCTTATCTATGGATCAATAAGTGGCTATCTACAAAATAAATGAGGACTGAACAGCATCTTCAGTAATCTTTCTTATATTCAGGGCTCTTTGCTCAAGAGAGAAATTAGCTTCCACTTTTTGAAGACTTCTGGGAACATTTAGAGGTATAAATCCAGTAAGATGATAATCCGGGTCTGGACTAGTTTGAACTAAGAAAATAATAGTTTTATTAATGTAAAAGGAAGTTTTGAAAAATTACAGGTGGTGGAACTTAGAGTTAGAGTTAAAAGAAAAAGACCAACATTTGTAAATGGAGCACAAGAGCCTGGAAACTTGTCCTGTGAGAGCTTTTCTATCGGGAAACAAGACCCATCTGAAGGTGGACAGGATCAATCCCATCACTTCCTGCAAACTGCATATGGAGATGAGGAACAGAGCCTGGGGAGTCAGGGCAGCTCAGCGGAGGCCTCCTCTTCACACACAGGGACAGGGGCTGGGGGGAACACTCTGCCCCCTCAGGTCAGCTGGGGGCATCGAGGGGAGTCATGGTGTGTGTCTGGGCTCGCTGAGCTCCACACAAGCCAAGGGTCTGTGGAAGAACCCAAGCAGACATGTCTCTTACCTTCACAGTCGCCCAGGTGGGATGTGTTTCCGTGCTCAACGTCCTGCTCAAACGGCAGTCTGCAGTGTGAGAGGAGAGGAGTTACAGCGCGTCTACCCAACACACTGATTCACGTGACCGTATCAGGCTTAAGGCCCACAGCGCACAAGGCCCAGCTCTAGCAGGGGTTAAAGTCAATGTGGATGTTGCAGTTGTATGCTGTGAGTCAGTACTTTTCTTTGTCATACTGAATAGCTCAGTGTAGATATACTGACTGCTGCTAACAACTGGAATATTAAATGTCACTTTGACTAATTTACTGCATTGGAAAAAAAACAATAGTAACGAGCTGCAGTCCATTACAACACACAGGACTGGGTTATCTCCAGCTTCCGTTCAGGACGTGTTTATCATGTTCTGTGACCATGCTACCTGCATTCCTGAAACTATCACTCGTCCATGGCAGAGTCTGGCAGGCCTGAGGACTCCTGCAGAGGCACAGATGAGCAAGTGGACGTACAGACACTGCTGCTCTGCAAGCAGAACTAACCCGGCACAAACAGGCCTGGAGGCCTATAACCCACTCTGCCAAAGAACCATCAGCATCACCGCTTGTAGCAGAAACAGCAGTGAATTCCAAACTTGAGCTTAGAGGCTCATCTGGCACGAGCTCCAGCCTGTTTCTTCAGACAGAAATTCTGGAGAAAGATAAATCCAATTGCACACACTTTCACCTCCCACGTATAAATATCACATCGACTGCCCACCCCTCCCTGCTGGCAGCAGCTTCCTGGCTCATCCCTCATTAAAGGGTGGTCTCCAACAGCCCTGTCCTCGCGGTAAGATTGTTGTTCTGCCCTTGGCTCTTGGTTCGAATCAGACTCTTCTGAGCAGAAAGGGTTACCTGCGGCTGGACTCATTTACACAGCTGGGCAGACTGGAGGTACTGTGTTTACACAACTTGACCAGGGCACAAAGCAGTGTCTACAGCAAGGGCTCGAACCCACAACCTTCCTCTTACAGAACCATAATATGACTCTCCACTGCACTGCTGGCTAGGAGGCTAATAACTTCTTTTCAGGTAATGACATTTTCACATCAAGCTTCCATGTGGGATACTGTCATCCCGTGAACGCTCCTCAACCTCAGCACATCAACGCTCCTCACCATCAGCACCTTAATGCTCCTCAGCCTCAGCACATCAACGCTCCTCACCCCCAGCACCTGGACGCTCCTCACCCTCAGCACATCAACTCTCCTCACCCTCAGCACCTGAACACTCCTCAACCTCAGCATGTGAATGCTCCTCAACCTTAGCATGTGAACGGTCCTCACCCTCATCACGTGAACACTCCTCACCCTCAGCACATCAAATCTCCTCACCCTCAGCACCTGAACACTCCTCACCCTCATCACATGAACGATCCTCACCCTCATCATGTGAACGCTCCTCACCCTCATCACATGAATGCTCCTCACCCTCAGCATGTGAATGCTCCTCACCCTCAGCATGTGAATGCTCCTCAACCTCAGCACGTGAACGGTCCTCACCCTCATCATGTGAAATCTCCTCACCCTTAGCACGTGAACGTTTCACACACTCAGCACGTCATAGTCACACATTCATCTGAACCTGCCTCTGAGGTCTGACGGCGCCGATGCTCACAGTCCATCTACAGTGAATGCTGAAAAATCCCAGTACCCCAGAAACTACTTTCCATTGCATGTCTTGCAGTCCACTCTGTAATGTCTTTGCTCACCTTGTCCCTGGTTCCAGGAAGGAGCAGGTACTGCCCCGGGTCCAGCCACAGTAGGGGTCCCTCAAGGCGATGCAGTTCCTGCAACACAGGAGAGAGGCCCTGAGCACAGTCTCTCACTGCACGCTGACACTGACTGCACGCTGCATAACAACATTGCACACTCCACACTGATGTATTGACTGCACAGTGCACACTGACACACTGCACAGTGCACACTGCATGCTGACACTGTGCACTGCATGCTGACGCTGCACACTCCACACTGACACACTGTACACTAACTGCACACCAACACTGCACACTGATGTACTGACTGTACACTGCATACCAACACTGCACAGTGCACACTGACACTGACCGCACACTGCATACCAACACTGCACAGTGCACACTGACACACTGCACACTGACACTGACTGCACACTGCATACCAACACTGCACACTGACACACTGACATACTGACACTGACAGAAACTACTGTCAGTAGTAGGGCATACTGTACCCTGACACCGAATGCACACTACGCACTGACTGCACACTATAGTGTCCTGCATTCGTCTCTAACACATCTGAGCTATATTGCATGTAAGTTATGTAAGTTACTGTGTAACACAGTAACAATGTTTTTATTTATAAAATGTGTTTCTTTGCATATGTCAGAACATACTGTAAGGACATTTATAAATGTGAGGAGGCCATTTATTATTTATGCTTATTAGTAGCTAATTGATCTGAGGATCTTGACCAGCCATTTAATATATACAAATGCATATCATATGCAAACTGCATGAATATAACATCCCATTGTGTGTGTTTTCCATGTCGAGCCCTGGGTAGAGTTTTGAGCCAGAAACACTAGGAATAAGAATGGAGAGACATGAGTGGGCAGGCCTGGCAGGGCCGGGCACAAGGGGCACTCACTTCATGCAGCGGGCATGCTGCTGGCAACGGGCCAGAGGGACGCGCACCACGCAGGCTGGGAAGGCCAGGAGCAGGGAGCGGCTGGGGCGGTCCAGGCTCATTGCCAGCATCCTCCGTGCAGAGGGGGAGTCCACGCCACACCTGGACAGGTACATCAGCTCATTGCAGTTATCAAAACAGACAGCAAATATGGCGACAGCAACAATAATACTAGCAATTATACTGTCATGTAAACAAAACAGTGTCATGCTAGCAGGGAGAGCTGGTGTGCACAGTCACAGTGGGCACCCACACCTGAAAAAGCCAGGCAGAGAAGCACAGCAGGTCCACCACAATGCAATATTAAAACCAGGAGTGTGAGACTTTCCCACGGAAAATGTGTTATGTTTTCCACTAGCTTCCTCATATCCATGTTGTGCATTTATTGTTTTGCAATGGACTCATGTGGTTTGTGTGCCTTTACTGTTACTATGGTGTTCTTATACTGATTTAATAACAAAGCTCTACAAGGAGATCCAGCGCTCCAAGGCACAGAGAGAGGAGTAGGACTCACTTGTCTGGGTTAAAGCCTTCAAACTCCTCCAGGAAGACGCTGCTGTAGGCAGCCCTGTTGTCCTCCTGGGGGTGGACGAGGAATTTGAGGACGGTGCCTGTGTCAGATCCCAGGAACAGAAGTGTGTGGTTCCTGTAGGGGCCGGCGGCAGTGTCCACCACGATCTTGCTGAGCTGATATCTGAGAGAGCAGAGATGGTCAGACTCTCGGACCACGTCACACACATGCAGGCAGGCGATGTGCTGGCACCGTGCTGTTACCTGACCATGGTCCTGACAATCCAGGGCCGCTGACCAATAGAGGGGACGGCCTCGTCCATCAGAGGGTGTGTCTTCACAAAGTTCAGCACTTCGTCTGGGAAGGTTGTGGAGGAGTTGAACCTGGAGCCCTGGACAGCACAGGCGCCTGGCCTGAGAGGGGGAGAAAGAAGGGGGAGAAGAGGGTAAAGAGAGATTCACTCAGCGAGAGACTCGCTCTCAGTGCTGGGGTAGATGCCCTGTGTACCTGGGTTTCGGGACCAGCTCATCGGGCACTGCAGTCCAGATGGACTCGGGGAATTTCTGCTCCTTGAAGCGCCCCTCAAACACGCTGGCCAGCTGCTGCATGTCGAAGGCGCAGACCGCGGAGCCGGGGATACTGTTGAGACACACGCAGGGTTAGGATCACACCCCTCTCTCCCTCCTGCCCGAAAACCTCTAACATCCCTTACTGTACACCCTGTCCGCCTGCAGGTTTCATCTAAACACCTAAAGGCAAATCCGGGCTGAATTTTAATTACCATCATTAAATTTGATTATATTGTGTTTGAATGGTAAAATTAAATTCACTCTTTTTATTAAATTTTCTATAACAATGTTAATCAGATCCACCATCTGGTGAATGCACGTGGACTTCTTGTTAGTAACACTTAACTCATAACACTGTCCCCTGGCTTAGGATACAGAGAGCTTTGTTGCTATGACTGATCAATTACAGTGTGGCCAAAGCAATAACAATGAACAGAATATTTACAGCAAATCAGATTAGTATTATTATTCGAGACTCTCAGTCTGTGTTCCTCAGGTTGACAGCGGATCATGTACTGAGCTACCAGCTCCTTTGAGTTTCCTCCCCAGTATGTAGGTTTGGGAGCTGACAGGTGTGGCAATTCTGGGAATAGATTTTTTATTTTGGGGAAGAAATGTTTTTTTAGTCCTAGAGTATTTCTCTCAGTGCAGAAGAAAGTGCATCTGTGTCTGTTTCTCCCTGCTGGCAGAGGGAGCACACAACCTGTCCTCTATGGGCAGCCAGGTCTGCCCGTGTCCTGTGTCTATTGCCAGGTTGTGCCCATTTAGCCCTCTAAACTCTACCCCCCCCTCAACATCTAGACCAAAATGGTTTAAGCACATGCCCTAGTTACAGAGATACTGCTGCATTTTCAGTTGGCTTACTGAGGATCAGCTTCAATTTCATGGCTCATGTTATTGCTCATGTCACTGTGACAGCACATTTATTCACTGAAGTAATGAAAAAGTGCATTTTGTTATTTTCATAACTGAAGTGCTGATTAAAAAATACTTCTGCAATGGACAGTGGAAAGCACAGTAAGAGCACTGTGACCCATTTCTACTCTGAGAAGGCCTGTGGATTTTTAAGAGAGACAAACCAATATAATCGATTCAGTGGTGGGACAGACTTACTCTTACTTTGCAGTAGATTGTGCAAGAAAAATGTGTTCTTTCTTGGTTTTAAGGTAGGACTGAAATGCTGCACTGCGAATACAGTCCCCAGTAGAATCTGGGGAAAAAAATTCAACTTGACCATCCTACTGTGCGTGAATAAATATTATCAGGTGTTGTTATGTTTGTCTCACTAACGTCCAAACCTCAGGCACCGGTATCACCAGACTGAACCGCTCCAATGAGATAAATTAACAGTTCAATTAACTAATTTAGAGCTCAAGCTGATCTGAAAACTACATTGCTACAGGCGGGGAGGTAAGGAAGACTAAATGTCGTGAAATGAAAACCTGTCCTGTCCAGCTCCCTCTGGAGAAATGGTGCCCACTCTGAGAACACCAGCACTGCTCCAGCCCGCTCTGCCACTGGGCACTTTCATGTCCACCCAGCCACCCAGAGCAGAGTCCCCAGCCACACCTCTCCCTCCATTATCTCAGCAGCTTCTCACACATTCTGATTCAGACACTTCAACTGATTCCCCAAAAAGCCTCAAAATGTTGGATCGAGAACTATGGGGCTTGGTGACCTTCCAAACACCTTTCCCTCCCACACACCCCCACCCCCCTCTCTCAAGCTCGAGTTCAAATTCTTTTCTCCACAGCAAACTGAACAAGTCCTGCCAAGCATGCACAGCAGTACGGCGCTGGCGCAGAGAAGGCCTCCACAGCATCAGTGTGGTCTGGCTGCATCTACAGTGTACAGGGTATTTACAGTGTGTCTCTGGACTGTGGAGGGTCTGTGTCTGCAGCAGGAGTCTGGACACTCTGAGGCTGTTACTAGAAACACTAAATCAAAAATCAAATCAAATCAAAGTTTATTTATCAAATGCACAACAATAAGGCATGCAGCAGTAGTTGCTGGCAATGAAATGTCTTTTTCTGCGAGCTCACAAAAATTACAAGAATCACAAGAATCACAAGAATCACAAAAATCACAAAACTGAGGTTACATTTTTTAAATTGAATAAAACTCAATGTGAGTAGAGCTGTTATGTGTCCATGGTGTATGCAATTTATACATGTAGTGCAGTTATGCTGAATACTGTCACAGACGTCCAAAGGGACTAACCGTGGGGAGCAGGAGAGCGGAAAAAGACCCATATGCGTAGCGGCGAGACGGGAAAAAGGCCTGGGCTCATTAGTGCAAAGAGTTCAGGAATGCCGTATAGAAACCTATGCCCTCAGGGAGTGGATGTGGGGCGCCCTGGTGCTAGGCGGGTCTCAGGACATCCGGACCTCAATGCTGAGCCAGGACAGAGTGCAAGACCCGGAAATATATAGCCCAAGGGAAAGAGAGGGACCGGAAGGACAACAGACCGTAAACTAGGGACAGAACAGAGAAGGAGCGCCCTCTGGCTGCAGAGGGCATGACAAATACAGTGAAAACTGTGTGTCCGTGTAGCCATTACAGGTGATTTGCTAAGGAGCTACAGGTTGGCTATTTAGCAGTCTTATTGCCTGGAGGTAGAAGCTGTTCCGTAGTCTGTTGGACTTGGACCGATTGCTTTGGTACCGTTTACTGGACGGTAGGAGGGAAAATAGTTGGGATGACTGGGATCCTTGAGAATGGACCTGGCCTTCTCTGAGAATGGACACTACCCTCTCTTCGCTATCTCTTTCATATTAGACTTTTCCTACATTCTGAATCAATCAGCTTTCATCAAGTTTCAGTTTCTGCTGAATGATCTCAGCTTGAAAAGTTTTACTCATTTCAAGGATTTCAGAAAAGAATCTGGTGACGTTCATAAACTCTATTTCTGGAGGCCATGCTTCCTCTAATGAAGTTGGGTAATATAAATAAACACAGAAAATAAATCATTCCGCCTCGTTCCTCTGCACTGGCAGATGTTACCAATTACTGTCATCTCTCCCTTATTAAAATTAATCTTCCCTTTCTTTAATCTCACAAGAACATGTTTTATTATTAGAAGTAGCTAGCAACACAGATTAAAGCAAGGCAAGATGTTAGATGTGCCTTCCTGGCCATTAAAGATGAAACAAATACAATAAGAAACACTAACTGTATCTAGATCCAACCTGACATAAGACCACAGGCCATTGCCATCAAAATAAGAATAAAATAGAGTCTCCTGGCAGAGTGCAGAACACATTAACAAGTACTTGCGCCACTGATTTCTTGCACAGGGGCAGGGTGGCCGCCAGCAAGTGAGACAGCAGTGTGGCACAGTGCCTCTCTCAGGCAGCTGAAGGGCTGAATGCCCACCTCTGCCAGGATACCACGGTGAAGCCCAGGCTGTGTCTGAGCTCCGGCTGAGCTCTGTCACTCCCGGACCAGGACCAGCATGGTTGGTTGACCGAGTGCTGCTGGGACTGGGCATGTCTGTGGCACACAGCCTGGCAGCACGATGAGCTGATGAGCTGATTACCACCTGACAAGTGCAGTTGGTGTTATTAAAAGAAAAATATTGGACATTTTTAAAATAAAAAGCTTCTCAACTCAATGTAGCACAAAATGCATTGTTTTTCCTCAAAGGGTTGGAGGTGTCTGGCAGACGCCACCCTGTTTGTTGTTGAAGCCTTCGGCCTGGGCTCTTCAGTTCAGTTAAATACCAGAGACTGAAACAGTGAGATATGCTGAATGGCCTTCTTGCTTGTTCCTTTCCTGTACTCGCTCCATTCAAACATCTCTCGGACTTTCCCTACCTGAAAACAGGCGCTGTGCTCTTTACATATGTTTCCCTGCATGAAGAAAGTATCCAGGAGAGAGCAGAGTTCAGACTGAGTGGGCCATGATCTGAGAACATATTTCTATCTTGGTCATATTACACATTTGTTTTTTGCAGAAGGAAAACTGAAGCTCTGAATGATAAGAGAAATTTCCTCCATGATTCTGTTGTCTAGGAAAGTCCTCCTGGAGCCTGTGGGCCTGAATCCCTTTTCCTCTCGAGTGAGAAGGGTGCAGACCTGAGTGTGGCTGTCGGCGTGCGGGGGGCTGGCTGGTTCCAGGGGCAGCTCTGAGTCCCGGGCTACTGTGCAGAAGCAGCTGCTCAGAGGCATCTCTGGGAGCTCAGAGCCTCCTGACTTCAGATCATTTTCATCTGCATCTGTTCGCTTTGCCAGCTCCCCCGGGCGGAGAGGGAGGGACGGAGTGTGTGTGGGCTGAGTGTGTGTGTGGGCATCTGAACCTTGGTGTGTGTGCGATTGTGAGAAGGGAGCCCTCGCTCCTGCTGTGGACGGATAAGGGGCACCTGTGGGCAAGGGAAATGTTCATAGCAGCTGAGCAGCTCTGCCAATGTCGACACTAATAGTTCTTTCTCGTGCCTGTGATCCTATTGCCCAAAATACTGGCAGCCCAGCTCTCTGTTTTCATGTGTTAATGCAGCTCAGAAATACCCTGCATTCACTCTGTTTAGTCAGCAGCTCTACCACTTTCCACTCTCTGTTCTGCAGGCAATATCACTCCAGGCTGCTGAGCCACAAAGACTGTTCCCAGTCAGGGCTCAGAAACACACACAGCTGATAAAATAATTTAACTCTTCCAGTGGTGATGTGGGAAACAGATGTTGTCCATTAGCATCTTGCAGTTTCCTCCTAAAATTAATCCCCCCTTCGCTCTTCTCCCCCTGACAGCAGGCCTCCGTTATTAACGGCGAAGGAGGTTATTAGAGATGGCATTTACAGCGCCCTGCTCTCTCCTGCCATGAATACCAATAACCTCATCTGCATGAGCGCCCACCTGGCCCTGCAGTACATCTGAGACCTGTCACCCCATCACTCACGGCAGCCCACTGACACCCCGGCACCCCCACCCGTACCTACTAGCAGACATTTAGAAGAATGGCCAAACAGCAATATACATTTCTGCCTGTAAGAAAACCTCAAATAGACTGGAAAACATAAACCCACCAATAGTGATAATTTAAAAAGCAAACTGTGCTGTGCAGCCAATTGGATTCCTACATCAATCTACAATTCATTAAGCTAAACTGGGCACACCATATTTAAAGTAGCTATTGTGGTTTCCTACAAAACACAATGTGGAGCTCTGTGGATAAAAATAGATACAAATAAGGCGGATAAAATTAAGTAGGGGATAAAATTAAATTAAAAAATAAAAAAGAGTTTAATTTCAATGATTGTTATGTGCAATGATAATTTTATCAGAGTTATATATCTGATGTAAAAATACACATTGAATTTTCAATTTGTTTTCATGGTGACTAATTAAGTGCTTACAGCTTCAATATAAGTAATGCCTTTTGAATTTGTTGTAGCCTGATGACAGCTAGTGTGGCTGAACCGCTCGATCTCGAGTTCCCCAGCTGGGAGTAGCGCAGTGTGTGCCCGGCCAGCCCTACCTGTTGGCTGGAGTGGAGAAGACACCGAGCACAGTGTCGCGGCCATGCAGCCGGATCACCGGGCTGGTGGAGTGCAGCACGTTGAAGTAGAAGTGGGCGTCGCCAGGGACAGAACAGTTGAGCCGCGCCTTCAGGAAGGACGTCCACTGCTTCTCCAGGACACGCTGAGAGCCGCCCAGGTCCCCCTTACAGACCCTCGCCACCCGAGACACCACTACCTGTGGGCACAAGGCACTAATACACACTGACGCCAACAC